AATAATAATAATAATAATAATAATAATAATAATATAATTTATTTTAGTTTGTCGAGACAGCGTGTTTCCTGTGTAGCTTTGGAGCCTATCCTGGAACTCAGGCTGTAGACCAGGCTGGTCTCGAACTCACAGAGATCCGCCTGCCTCTGCTTCCCGAGTGCTGGGATTAAAGGGGTGCACCACCACCACCCAGCCAGGGGATGAAAGTGTTCAAAGATGTGTGAATCTAGATGTAGAGAACTGGCTAGTGAGCTGTAGTTCAAAATGGGATGCAGAGGCGGCTCAGAGAGGCACAGGTATTCACAAAGGTGAGGCAAAGATGGGGTACAAAGATGGAAAAGTGGCAAATTGGGGTGCAGAGGTTGTGTTCAGAGACATAAATGAGGTGACAGCGCAGCGTACCTGAGCCACTTAAAGTTGGGGTGCTGAGGAGTTAGGTTCAGAGAAATGGGTGGTTAGTTAGTTAGGTGGAATACAAAAAGAGAGGGTTAGAACAATGGAGGATACAGCAGGCAACCAGAGGCTTGGTGTGCAGAGGGGCTCCAGGGTTGGGGTGTAGAAGCATGCTTCAGAAAGTTGGAGTGCTAAGAGGTAAAGTCTGAGATGAAGCTGCAAGAAGATGGGGTGCTGAGAGGAAGTCAGGGCAATGGAGCGCAATGGGTCAGAGAACAAGGCTACAGAGACGTGACTTAGAGGTCAGGGTCCAGGGGTGAGATAGAGAAATAGGATTTAGAAAAGGCTCTGAAATGTAGGGTGCAGAAATATGGAGTGCAAAGTTGGTTTGGAGAACAGAGATGTGTACAAAGATGATGGTGCAGAGGGCTGAGGTCTAGAAATGGGCCAGTGAGGGACAGGTTGTCAGAGAAATGAGAGTGGGGATAGGAGGCACACGGGAGAGAACCAGGACAGAGCTCATGGGGTGGGTTCCCTAGGGTAGGACTCCAAGGGTGGGGTGTGATATATGGAGAGCTAAGAGGTAGGGAACTTGAGCGGCATTGGAGGAGGTGTTTCTGCGCGGGCCAAATGACACCCTCCATGCAGCCAGTGACAGGGACCAGACACAGGAGTTGCCTGAGGGGTGCAGCTCAGATCTTCACAGAGCCAGACTCGCTCCCTATGGGGTAAATATTCCCTACCCCGATGGAGCAGGGCAAGAGGAAGTCTGAAGAACATTTGGGATTCTCAGGGTTCTGGGAGTGTGACGCTTACAGCGATGACCTCCAGCCGCTGTCGATAGAGGGCGCTCTCCGCCATGACCCTGTAGGGAGAGTGCCGGGCTGAAGGGGCGTTTTCTAGGGATCCCATCCCTCAGCAGGCGGGCTTCTGAAGGTCCTTTCCTAATTAAGATCCCTGAGCTGCCGAGAGAAAAGAGCCCAGAGCTTTGCCTCTGTTTGCCCCTCTACACCAGAGATGACAGACCATGGTCATCAAGCTAAAACTGGGTCTCCCATCTTTCTCCGCCTCAGTTTCACCTGTGAAACCGGCAGGGTTAGCTTTATCCCTATCGTGCAAGAATGCAATTAAAGGGTTCTGGAGAGATGGCTCAGAGGTTAAGAGCACTGACTGCTCTTCCAGAGGACCCTAAGTTCAATTCCCAGCAACCACAGGGAGGCTCACAACCATCTGTAGTGATATCTGGTGCCCTCTGCTGGTGTGCAGGCGTACATGCAGGCGGAACACTATACATAATAAATTAATTTTAAAAATCCTTTAAAAAAAGAATGCAATTAAAGCAATTTCCACATTTAATATAATTTATACTTAACTACAGTAACTATTCTTACAGGCTCCCACAGACATTCTCAAGTCCTGCCAGGCTCCAAATACGCTGGTCTCTTGCTAGTCCCATGCCTTCTCTGAACCATAGCTCCCACCCGTAAGCACTAGGGTGAGGGTATGAGGGAATTCGAGGGAGAGAAGTGATCATTAAACCACTGCCATGGTGCCTCCAGAGTTGTCTCTTTTTCACTTGTCTACTGCGGGGGGGGGGGGGGGACAAGGGTCACTGGGCCATCCTGCCTAGCTGTGGACTTTGAGCTTCAAGGAGGGGGATTTGAGGTTTAAGGTTCAACCTGATATTTCCCCACCACTGTTGTCCTAACTGGAATGGGTCAGCATCCTGCTTTCCCACCACCCCCCAGGGGACCCCAGTATCTTTATTTAGGGGGCAGGCATCGTCAAAATAACATGTTCACTGACCAGCACAGGTGTGGGGCTGTGTTAGCTCCACTTCAGCCAATGGTTAGGAAGGGGTATCTACCAGCCTGTCCTCCATGCCAGACAGGGTGGGCACAAAGATCTTTAAGTGGTTTATTAATTTAAATCCTAACACATCAGGGAGAGAATCCCAGCACCACTGTCCACATTCCAGCCAAGTCCTCTCAGATCCTCCCACCACACCCTGAAGGCATAACAGTGCTATTTATAGTGTCCTAAGTGCCCTGCAGGGCTTCCGCTGAACCACAGCCACCTCTGTTCAGGCTCCACCCCTCACCATTTGCTGGCGGCAGTTCACTCTCCCATCTGACATTCCAGCTAAGAACAGACCAGGCCAAAGTAGCCACAAGCCACGTGCCTGTCAGGCTTTGAAATGCCCTATCTGTAGAAACACTTAATCTTCCCCATGATCCTATGAGGCAAATAGTATAATATTCCCATTTCCCAAAGGAGAAACTGAGACTCTGAGGAATAACAAAAGGATTTGTCCAAGGACAATGCCCAGTGAGTAGATGCAGAGAACCAGCTTAAACCTGTCCTCTCAGCTCTGCTGTGGCAGCAGGGTAGCCTGGTGTATGCAGTAGTGACAGGAGCCTGTCTCAACCAAGGTAATAGTCGAAGACCATACAAGGTTGTCCTCTGACCATACTCACACATATGCAAGCATATGAATACTCCCACAACCTAGCATACACTCATATGCACACACACTCTTACACATATACACTCACACGAGACACACTCACACTGTACACACGCTCCCACACATATACTCACATACTGCATTCCCATGCATACTCACAGACACACACACACACACACACACACACACACACACACACACACACACACAGAGCACAAGACTTGTCCAAAGTCAAAAAGGCAAATGTGAACATGAAGCATGCTGGCGACACACAGTTCAGAGCCTCCAGGGACCTTCCTTTGGATAGCCAAGGGAGGCCAGATACCCACTTAGAGGTGGGGACTTCAACTAGGGCAGGGGCTGAAGGTCACCTGACAGGTGTCCCTAGGGAAGTCTAGATTCTGGTTCATCCCTCTGTCCCTGGGGGAGGGCTGAAGTCCCCTCAGCTGTCCCACTCCTAAGATGCTATCTCCCTAACTCTTCCTTTGGGGGGGGGTAGATCGGGTTCCCGTTGCTAAGCAACCAGGTTTGTACTTGGTGAATAATGCAATGGAGGTCCTAGGAGAGTGAAAGACGGAATTGGGGTCCCTAGTAGAGAGGAGCCCTCTATCTGGAAGTTTCTATAATCCCTTGGAGCCTTTCTGGCCACCTCGTTCCCTGCAAGGGATGGAACCAGATACATACTAGGCAAGAGCTGGCAACTGAGAGAAGATTGAGAAGCTTTTTACTTTGAAAAGCCCTCAGCTAAGGTGAAGTATTCGCACCTTCCTCCACATCACCTACTCCAAGACCGCGCCTCAGCCATAACCTCCTTGGTACAGACAAGGAGCAGAGAGGTGGCCATCGCCTCCCTACGACTTGGCCAATCTTTAGAAGCTGGATCGCTTCCTTCCTTCCTGGATTCTCTAGCATTCTCCTGAGCTCTGCAAACTTGAGGAGTTT